TACCTCACGAAACACAGCACCAGAATGGTGTTGCTTTGGAGGTAGTAGGTATGCCCGTAGGTTTGCCCCCAGCTGCACATGTCCCTAGTAGGCAACAGCAGCAGCCGCCTCCACCACCTCCCGGAGGTCCGCACCACGGATATAATACCCTGCACCATCCTCGATCAGCCGGACTTTTGGCAGAGTACCAGACTTCGTCCAGTGTACCTCAACCTCCACCACCGCGGGGCTCGGCTGTCCCACGCACAATGTCGTCTGCAGACGCCGGTTCAAATGAACATGAGGCTGGGATGACGATGACTCGAACCGTGAGATTACCGACTGCTCACTTAGCAGCAGCTGCAGCCGCTGCTCACCATAATATGCAGCAATCACAGCATCATCACTCCTCGAATGGAGGTCGCCCCAACTCACTACCCCCACAGTCTTCTTCAGGAATCGGTCTCAAGAGGGGTCTGTCCACCTCTAACGAAGACGACGAACATCACCACCACCACGTAAACGGTGACGGAGTACCCACGACCAAGAGAATGATGAGCGTGGAGGAACACTCCACTTCATCTAGACCACCACTAACGAGAGGGGAGTCCCTGCCTGCTGCTGTAAGTCACACGACTCCGTTCATCGAAAGTCGTTTCAAGGACAAACATCCTATTAGGGCGCCGTCCTTTGATACAGCCACTTACAAGCCCAATGGTAAGTTCGGATGAGTCTGGTGATAAGACTCGTTTGTATTCGTATTTATTTGTTAAACTTTATGTTGAGGTAGTGTTTGTGTTGATTCCACAGTACTGTACGACCTTCAACAATGGTCTGTTATCGTTACAGAAAGCTTTGGTATTACAAGTTTTATTTTCTCATTGTCGTGAGTCACTAATGTCATGTGACGAGACTGCAGGGGGGGCTCGCTTTGCATTCACTGCTAACGTGGTTAGAGGAGCGGAAGAGAGAAAGAGCATGTAGATTTTTATATAGTCACAACATGACATGCACGCATTGAAACGTTTTAGAATAGGGAGGGGGGAATTGACTTGTAGGAGACACGCACGGCTGCTACAGGTTCCGTTCGTGACGTCACGCTTACGACACGTCTGCGCAGTGTTTGTGCGCAGTAGCAAGTGTTCTTTTGTTCCCCTTTCCATCGCAGGGATCGATATTTTGATGCATTCTTTTTCTGAGATGTTAAAGTGCTTAAGAGATGTACGACTTTGTTTCAGATTTGTTCTAAACATGACCTGTCTTGCCTTTGCTTGGTATCTGGACAGCTTACAAAACAATGGAAATGCGTATTCTCACGCTTTGTTTATACCAAGTGCTCCAGTTACTGCCTTTTCTGATCAGGTGCGCGATTTTAAAAAGTTTCCCACGGACGAAGCTTACGAAACAAAACAACATGCATCTTTTCATGTCATTCATCCCTTCCAATACCCTGCAGTGTTTGGAATTCTCTCCCCGTCTGTCGTCGACCATGTTGCCATCTCTTTCGTAGTTCCGCTGCACTCTGCACTCTCAGCGGTCGACCTGCAGCGCTGTGTGTCGGTTTCCAACAAGAAATAGGCGGGTACCAGCAACGGATATTGATCAAACCATAAACGGGCATTGCCTGGCTCTTCCATCGCTCTTAGTGCACTTTGAAACACAAAGGCGCTCCTTAAACTCGGCTTCCAAGTCGCTTACTGCTTGGCACGTTGCCTGCTTGTGGCGTCATCGGGGCAGAGTATCATGCTTCAGGTTTGTCGTGCCAAGCTGGAATGATGCCTCAGGAATGCTTTCCTCAGCTTCCTATCCCCGTGTCGTACACAAGTGTTTGAATGAATAGGGAACCATAATTTTTTTCCCCTCCCCAATTATGTAATCATTATAAGTCAGAGGCCAGACATTTCGCTGCATGATGTACGAAGCTATTACGCCTATCAGGATTTTTTTAATATCCTTACGCTGACTGATATTGTTAACAAGAAACATCGTAAACGGGTGTGGCTATTTTAGCTTAGGGGTTTTCGTGGTTTTCCTTAGTTGCAAGTGCCTGTGTTGTCCTTTTGATGTATTTAATTTATTTTAGATGTAGTTTATATAATATTTATAACTTGAATTATACACCAACAACTTTGGGGGTACGAAGTTGAAAAGAAATTATATCTGGGGGTACGCGAACAATAAAGGTTGAATACCACTGCTTTAGATTAAACCACTACGACCCAGTTCATCATCGATTAGTGATCGTATCAGCATCGTAAAATAAAAGGAGGAAACCAAACGATATGTCGCAAATCGAAATTACTGTACGTGTTGCCCTCTTTTCAATATTATGGATTTAGTTAAACCTGTTCTGTGGAGCTGTTTAGCCGTTCCCAAAAGATTTTGTCTGATTCATCGGACTCCTGTCTGATCTTATGCTTAAAAATAAAAATAAACCTAGACTACAAAAGAAAACGTCTTCTGCTTCAGAAATTGTCCTGTATTCTTGCACCGTAGTTATTGTTAGGTTTTTATTTAAAGTAAATAGCTCTTTTAAGTTCACAATAATCTTGCCTGTTGTTTTGTATGGGTGCGAAACATGGTCTCTCACTCAGAGGGAGGAACACAGATTGCAGGTGTTTGAGAATCGGGTGTTGAGGAGGATATTTGGGCCTAAGAGGGAAGACGATGGGGCGTGGAGAAAACTGCACAATGACGAGCTTAAAAATCTGTACTGCGCCCCCAGTATTGTGAGGGTGATTAAGTCAAGAAGAGTGAGATGGGCGGGACATGTAGCGCGCATGGATGGGACAAGAGGTATGCACCGGGTACTGGTTGGGAAACCTGAAGGGAAGAGACCGCTGGGGAGACCTAGACGAAGATGGGAGGATAATCTCAGGCGGGATCTATCCGAGATAGGAGTTGAAGGAAACTGGATTTTGTTGGCCCAGGACAGGGTCCGGTGGAGGGCTTTGGTTAATTCGGTGATGAACCTTCGGGTTCGGTAAGCCATCTAGTTAGTTTTAGTTAGCTCTTTTAAGTTCAGTGTACTCGTTCCTCATCTCTGTACCGAAAAAGTTCCTATTCAGATACTGTAGTTGTTTTTTGCTACGTGGGACAAATGTCACAACATTTTTGAATACAAGCCAGGTGTTCCCGCCAGGTTTGGAATTCAACTACGTCAATGTTATACTGGCCCTCCCGGGAGGAACTACTTGCATAAACACGTGTGGATTAATCCATTCTGAGCCTGGCACTTTTCCCACGTACTTCGATGAGGGTTGGATTGGTCAGACCTTAGAACGCTTTCTTTCAGTCTTCGCTGCTTTTCTTACTACAGCTGAGGGTCTTTTGTGAAGAAATGAGGGGGGGAAAAACAGGAATAGGGCGCTGTCACTTTCCTTTCTTGTCCCTCACAGTTCATTGACCATTACCATTGGCCTATAGAAGTCTTTGATAGGAAGCTTATACAACATTTCCACGTTTCGATCAAGTATGAAGTGAAATTATACAAAGTGCAAGATACTTGAAGTCTTACATTTGTATCAAATGAGATTTTAGGTTCTCGTGGTGATGAATATATCGCGCCGTGTAGCCTAGAACAGTGGTATTCAACCTGGGGTACGCGAAGACATCTTAGGGGGTACGTGAAATTTAAAAAAAAATTATGATAAACACTGAATAATCAGTAATTTATTAAATTTATTTTAGATATGGATTATATACTTTGTATAACTTGCATTATCTACCAAGTTTGGGGGTACAATGTCGAAGAGAAATTATATCTGGGGGTACGCGAACAAAAAAAGTTTGAATACCACTGGCCTAGAACAATTTTCTTAGCGTTTCATTGCTCTTATGGAGACCTCAGAAACGTCGGTAAACTTCTAGCATGCTGCACGGCGCAATACCCCAGAAGTCATCTTTTGATGTGTCGTGTTTAATTATTATTTTTTTTTGGGAATCAGCCCATCGCCAAAGCCTGAAAGCAGATTAAGCTTCAGATATTTAATTTTGTGATATTGTACAGAATTTCCAGACTTTTAAGGTGCTGTATGAGTAGTTTGTCGTAAATAATATAACTTTTGCGTTTTCTTGGTGGCAGGCAATTTTCGACTTTCGTGATGTTTCTGTGCGTTCGAATCCCGTATTAGATATGAAATCAGACAGGTTATAACAGCAAGTTGTGTGTGTGGGGGGGGGGGGGGTCTTTATATTTCCCCGCCTATCCTACCAGTGACTCAGTGCATGATGGGTAACAAGTGTATTTGCTGTGCCTGTTGTATGGCTGCAATCTTGAATGTCACGGAAGTCTAGTTTCGTTCATGTTCGTAACTGGCATTTCGCCTCGCTTGCCTGACTCCTTCGCCTGTCGTATGACGTCAGAGTATCGTAATGGCCTTCTTTTCGTTCGGCCTGTCTCGACTGTTGTCGGGACGAGCTCGGAGGCCGTGGAATGTTGATTCGACCGGATTTTTGTATGTGCCGTGAGTCTGTCGACTCGTCATCCAGTGATGCCATATCGCTTACGATACGAGCGTACACAGTGTTGCCAAACGTTTCGTAATGAATGACGTATAACTTGCTAACATTTTTTTTTTTTTTTTTTTTTTTTGGAAATGCGAATATGTCGAGGAGGGAAATTATTCTTGTTACACAGTTTGATGTTTGTATCATAACGTGTCTGATCTTCCCGGTGGTTGAAAAAACTTTTTGGGTATTAAATCTAACGGTGTTTTATTTTGTGGTATATATAAATAAGTAGCTCAGATTATATAACATCGAATGATAGGATGATTGTTGAATAATGTATTGGAATACATTGGGATACCTGGTCTTTGGGCTGAGATTCTTCTAGATGCTGAATCTCCAGGAACGAAGGAGTGCTGTCACGTTCGATATATTGAACTGTAAAATGACTTAGGAGGAGTAAAAGTCTACGGAATTTGATTTGTTGGCGTGTATACACGTTCTTGTACGTGTTCGCACGCACCGGATGTTCACAGTATTCTGGTGCGTGTTATTTATTTGTAGGGCAATAGAGTTTTATACGGTTAGAAATTAAGCTTGCATATTAGAAGTAATAGTAATATTTAGAATTTATATACTTATGAAATTGCCTTTTCTGTATTTTCTGAATTTTTTTATACTTTTATTTTCGATCCTATATTTAAACTATTCCTTCCTGTTTCATACTTAACACGAAAGGACGCCAAACTTTCATGTAGGTTGTGAGCGGAGGTATGTACAAATTTCCAACACTAGAATGACACACTAAACTCTCGTATCGTTGTCATTTCTGCCTCGGGAAATAAAGTGAACAGCTGTATGAGTGAGTGAGGATGTCACTTCATAAGTATTTATCGCAAATATTTCTATTGTAATTTTCAAACAAAAGAAAACATTTGTAGCGATGCAAATATTCTTGCAGTTCATGGTATTAGTTGTCTATTTTTTTAATCGGTAAATGAGAAATCGTTTATAATTGATTGGTAATTGGTGATTCTCACAGGACAAGGGCCTTAATAATGTGTGTGGTTATTAACCCTAAAAAGTTGACGTATCACAATATATTTACATTGTGAAGTGCATTGACTTTGCAAACTGTGTTGTTTAACAGTCGAAACGTGCCGTTCTGAAGTGAAGTCATTGATAACGATGCTGTAACCTCGGTAATATTTTATGCAATAAGTGATGAAACATTAATCAGTAAGAGACGGTAGAGGTCTGTTCTAAAA